ATAAAACTTCTTACAAAATGCATAAACCTGACAGATACAAAGCTTTTACCAGATAAAACTCATTTTCAAACACAGTGGCCATGCCGCAAAAACTGAATTCAAACATAAGTTTAAGTACATTTTTGCAGTTTTACACAAATGTAATCTGAAGCAGGCATTTCCAATGAGCCTGTGGGTCAGAACATTTTGTAAATGGCTCTTTGCATAAGATGACACATTTGCCGGCCAGAAGCAAGCTCTCTTCAACTCTCACATGGTTGCCCACTAAAGCCAAACAGAACTAGTTAGTATGTAAATGCGAGACCACATGAGAAAACTAGGTTTATGTTCCAGTATATTGATGGGACTCTATACTCTTTGGTGAGCACTGTCCTTTGGACGATAGGTTAAACTGAGGTCCTGAGAACTAATATTCAAAGATTTTCTTTGAAAAGAGTAGGGGTGTATCCCCAATATCCTGGCCAATATTACCCACTGTCCTCTTTCCATCATGGCCTCTTAACCATCCCGATATCATAATTAGCTTCATAACTTTGTCTCTTCTCCACAAATAAGCTGGTGTGTGGTCTAAGGACTGAAAGAAAATTACGATTTTATGACAAGGACCACATGCCTCATTATATACTCAATCATGGAAAATCAGATTTTAATTTAGTAGTTGATGATGTGCTGTCTTAATGTTCTAATCACATCGGTGTGGTCGTACGCTTCAGGGACCAGCCTTGACTGATCACACCAGTGTGATCGTACAGGTGGAAGGGTTAAAACCATCTAAAATATTTTTGATATGCAATATACTACTGTTATTTAGCAAGAACCAAAAACGTCGTACACTCCAAGGACCAGCCTAGACTGATCACACCAGTGTGACCAAACACGTGAAAGGGTTAAAACAATCTAAAACATTTTTTCACATTTAATATACTACTTTTAATTTGCAAGAAACCAAGAAAGACATGCGTTCAAGGGACCAGCCTAGACGGATCACACCAGTATGATTTTATTTTGCAGGAGCACAAGAAAGTCATCAAAAGTTACTGTAAAAACAGTGTTTTAGCTTTTGAATGGTAGTGTTCAAATAAATGACAGTATTATTATATTTAATAGGTTATTTTCATTATTAATAAGTAAGCCATTTTTACTTCATTTTATGCTTTTATGAAATAGAAAAGTCATTAGAAGACATCATTTAGCTGTTAATTTTACTTATTCAGAACTGCAATTGTATGTCGATTGATGCATATCAAGAGTAGAGACATTTTTATTTTCCATTTTGACTCAATCGGTCTCATATCCCCTAATGTAAATCTTTTCATAATGCATTTAATTTACTAGTAGTTCTAAAATAACAGTCCAAATATCATTTGTGAGCCATAATTCATACAAATCTGACACGACTCACCCATCAATTGCTCTCCCTGTTATATTTAGTGAAGAGAGGAGTTTCACAGTCTGTAAAATTAAACGCATTGAATGGGTTATTGTTTTACCGATTCCCACTCTTCTTAGCTAATGTCACATTAGGGGTGATGTAAACTCAAAGCATTTGGCAACAATGAATGACTTTAGTGTCTGTCCAAAACACCTAAAAAAAAGATGTATTTTCCAGTGACATTAAGCAAAATATATCTTCTTGTCATGAGTGGGCTGATATTTTGGGAGTCACTTAGGGAGACGCTTCTCATGACACTATAAATAACAGACAGACAGGCTCGTCTTTGGCTTTGTTTTTCATCATACACAATCCAGCCATCTTCATGCTTTCTGAATGCACTCGGTCCAGCTTTGCTTACTCAATCTGCAATCCATCTGAAAAAATACCATTGCACATATGTATTCAAACACAGCGCTTTTGATGTGTGTTTGTGCCGTCTTGAATGGAAACTGCAACTTGCATTTCATTCCTATGTTGTGAAATGCACTTAATCAAACACACTTGAAGATTTCTCTGGTGTTATATTCTGAGATCTGTTCTGAGTTTCATTAAATCTTTCGAATTCGTCTCATTAGTGTAATTAGAAGATTACAGTTGAACCAGCCCTTGTAAAGTCTGATTTCAGCATGAATTTGTGGAGACACGATCTTCGTTTGGGATTTACCAACTCTTTGGGATGCAAGACCTCAAAAAGTGGCTCTGTGGCCACTTTTGCCTTTAAAGTTTAACAGCACTTGTTACTCTCGCTCGTCTGTTATGAGGAGCTTTGTAGTATGGAAGGTTTCCGCCTGGGGAAACTCATTTATGGGGCTCTAGAGTTTGCGCATAGCCTTTAGCTAAAGGACTGGCCTTCATTAGCCATTATCAGACTCCTCCTAATGAACTGCACCATATGGCCACATTTAGAGAAAGAGAGAGAGATGATTAGTGAAACTTTTACTGTTTGTTTGCGAATGAAGATTCCAGGGTTTAGACTTTGTGCAGCAGAGCAGAAAAACAACAAACTTTTATAAATTAGAGAAAATGGGGTTTTAAAGACGCGTTTAAGAGTTGATAGACTTTTGACTGGATGCAAGGACAAATTGCAGTTATAGAAATGTGGACTACTGACACTTTTTTAAAAAAGGTTTCAATATGTTAACTATAGGTAATGTGAGTGTGTAAAATTTTTTATTTTTTTGCCATTTAGAGACTTTTTAGTTTTTTGAAGGTTGCTAAAGGTCACCAAATAAATTCAGTCACCAGTTAAATGTAGTCACCAAATAAATTTACTGCCAAATAATAAAATAAGTTCCCAAAAGTGAGCTACTTATTTATTGGTTACGTATCTAAAATTTACACTGACAAACATGTTGTCATAACGGTCTATATACACATGTATATTCACATGTATCTGAGTGGTATGGTACGGTACAGTTCGGTGTGCTTTTATGGCCGTTTCCACTGTCAAAAGGTACCAAAATGCAAATCGAACCGTATAATTTTTTGGGTAATCTTTCAAAAAAGGTATCTAGCCATCAAAAAGAGTTCCAAAAGGCGGAGCAAGACACATAGCTGAACGGTATTGATTTACAGTGAAACATCACTGGCTCATGCACAAGCAAGAGAATGAAATTAAGGAAGCGTAACTTTTAAATACACAGCCGAAACATTGCACCGTAATAATATCTACATATAATAACAAGCCATGCTCATTCCGAGCTTAAAAAAACCTTGTCGTCATCTTAAATAGCAGCCACAAAGCCAAGAAGAAGAGCAGAATCAACCCTGTGCCCTGTAGTTGTTTACAAGGCTGTCTAAAGAAAGTTTGCATGCGTGTCAATATTTGAAATAACAAACTTCTTCGACTGATGATAATGTGCACGCATTTATTGAAGTGCTTATAACATAAGATTCTTTCAGAAAACGCGAGAGTGAAATGCAAAAAAAGAAAGGAGAAGCTGGAAAAACAGGAGCAAATGATTCTTTCAGCAACCATAAACATGAACAAACTGCCATGTGTACCTATTACTGTCACCTTTTGGACTAATATGAATTTAGAATAGCAGAGTTACTTTCTAACAAAAGGTTACATGTGCTGGTGAAGATTAAAGATACAGATGAGAGGTTTGCACTGACTGTGGGCTATATATTGCGTGTTGTTTTTGAAACCAAATAAGGACTAAATGTATGCTGTGTGTAGTTGTTCTGTAATTGGTTACATATTGAAGACTTTAAGGGTTTGTATGTGTTCATATATGCTGCATTTATTTTTTTATTTTATATAATTGCAGACGTTACAGTAACGTTATTTTGTTATCGTATCATTTTGTATTATTGATCTGCAGTTATAATCAAATCCTGTTCATAGAATGGTTTGTAATGAACATATATACACAAGTGTTTATGTGTGTAAAGCATCGGTTTTGTGAGAAGTGCTTCTCATATGATATGTAAACAACCCGTACAGCTTTAGTTTGACTCAAGCGAGAATGACGTCGACTAAAACTTTCTGTCGTACACTACGCCTACTAAACCATTGGTACCCTTTTGACAGTGGATATACAAGCGTGATAAGGTGACTTGTAACGACCTATACCGTAGCATACCATTCTTCTTAGTGGAAACGGGCCATTTTGAAAGGGTACCCAAAAAGTGGTACAGTACGGTTTGCTTTTTGGTACTTTTTGACAGTTAATATGGACATAAAAGTGTACCGAACCGTACTCAGTGGAAATGGACCATTAGGAAAGGGTGCCAAAAAGTGGCACGGTACAGATCACTATTTTGGTACCTTTGACATTGGAAATGGAAATAAATGCGTACCATACCATATCATAGTGATATGTACCCTAATGCTCAGTGAAAATGAGCCATTAATTTGTAAACAATACTTAATATAAGATATAAGTCACATTTCTCACAAAATCACATTTTTGTAGTTTGCATTGTTGTTGTTATATATATATATATATATATATATATATATATATATATATATATATATATATATATATATATTTTTTTTTTTTTTTTTTTTTTTTTTTTTTTTTTAAGGCAAAAAAAAGTTTTGTGCAGATTTTTTCACGAACATCACGTTAGGTCTGTAGGCCGAAATAGGTCTTGTGTGGCTGTTCAAACAAAATGTTTACACTATGAAGCGGCTTCAATCAAATTTGTTTTTAACACCTCTGGAACTGGATACTCTCAAAATGTCTCAGACCCTGTTGACACCTATTTTTTATGTTGCCAATTTGTGATCGGGATTCCGAAAATGATCCTTAGGGTGAAATCAATATTTCAAGTCCATGTTTTATTGTTTTTATGAGTAAACATGTAACTCTTACAGCTGAGTGATTTTCATGTTATTTGTTTGGGGTGTGAGCGCGGTGAGACTGTCCAGACGGAGCCCACACTTCTCCCCCATCGTGTAAGATACTCAGTGTTAATTGTGGAGGGTTTTTCCTGTATGAGCCTGTGGGGGAAGAGCTCTATTCTGTTTTACTGAGCACTTACAGATGTCCCTTAAGCTTTTGATGTTTTCATGTTTTCCCCTTTCTTTCTCTCTCTCTGATTTGGACTGTAGTTGTCGGTGGGTTTACGGTTTTCCGTGGCGAGGCTGGAGGACGCCCCTCCTACCATTGGCTTTGAGGTGCAGATCCACAGGTAAATAAATGTCAAACCATATGTCAGTTACAAATCTGCAAGTAGCATCTTTGGTCTTTATGTTTTCTCAAACAATCGCACACATTTCTGGCCAAGTCTTTGTCAACACCCAAGTTTTTGCATTCCTATTATTCATAAAGTTATAAATAGAAACACTATGGTTCACAACGTTTGGGATGAATACCTTTAGGATCACTGACAAGCCTATTCAACTCACTAATGCAGCATTAATTTGATCATAAATATAGTAAAAATGTAAGAATTGTGAAATGTTATTATAGTATTGTATAAAGTAAAAGCTTATTTATGTAATGTAGTTAGAATGTATTTATTTCTGTGATTTACAGCTGATATTTCAACATTATTAATTCAGTTTTCGGTTTTGCATGATCCTTCAAAAATCATTATGATATGATAATCTGCTGTTGGCTCCATATTTTTGTTGAAACTGTGGTTCAACCCCATCAAAAGTACCATTAAAATGATTATTTACCTTGATTCATATGTATTGAAAAAGTATTTACTCTGACAAAAACTTTCAAGAGTAAAATTTATGTCAAAATAATTATTAATCATTCAGAAATAATCTTTATTTTAAAAAAAAATATTTATTTTTCAATAAGAGAATCCAAAACAGTTTAACCAAACTATGAAGCAAAAATATACAGGTATATATACATTTTTAGCATTGCTAATGAAAAAAATCATTATTATTGGTGAGCTATCAATAATAAATTATCATAACAGAACAGCAAATCATTATAATGATTTATAATGGTGTTTAAAGGATCATATGACACAAATTCACAGTAATGATGCTGAAAATTCAGAATGTAAGAGTTACAGTCACAGTTATACATCTTAATCCGAATTCAGTAAGTATTACTTTAGTAACAGTTAATTTTAGTTGAAACAATAGTACACTCACTGGTCATTTTATTAGGTACACCTTACTAGTACCGGGTTGGACCCTCTATTGTCAACAGAATTATCGTAATCCTTCGGGGCATAGATTCAACAAGGTACTAGAAATATTCCTCTGTGATTTTGGTCCATATTGACATAATAGCATCATGCAGTTGCTGCAGATTTGTCAACTGCACATCCATGATGTGAATCTCCTGTTCCACCACATCCTAAAAGTGCTCTATTGGTACTAGACCAGCCTATTTAGCACCAACAACCATCCCCATCCGCATTTTTTCCCATTCTGATGTTCAGTTTGAACAGCAGCAGATTGTCTTGACCATGTCTGCCATGTGATTAGCTGATTAGAAATTTGCGTTAATTAGCAGTTGTACCTAATAAAGTGGCCGGTTAGTATGTTTAACCATTTTAATGTATTATTGCATTTTTGATCAAATAAATGCAGCCTTAATGAGCAGAATAGTATTCTTATTATATAACCTTACTGATCCTAATCTCTTGAACAGTAGTGTATGTGCAAGTGTGGGTCTGAAGAGCTCAACATGGCTAGCTAATATTTCTGGTACCTTTACTTGTGATTTAATTTCAAGGCCTCTCAGCAGTATGTGCATGTGTGCATGTGAGAACAAGGTAAGTGGTGCGTGTCACTTTGATGTATGTTTTGTGGGGTCATTTTGTAAGCATGGGCCCCAAATGTTGGTCGTTTTAGGGTCAGGGCTTCAGAACAGGAAGCTGAGTGTTGATAAGATGTCCTTGGATGGGTCGAAGAAAATGGATCGCATACTTAAAGAGACTCGTTTTGTCAAAGTGAGGGTGCATGTGTGGAGACGAATGGCTATTCTGTGTTTATATACTGGGAAAAAGGCAGTTCTTTGCTTTTTTTGGTCATCTATTGTGTTATTAAGGGATGTTTGCTGCTTCATATTTTTTGTAAAAATTATGATATGCTATATTATGTAGCATGTCATAGCAATATACATGATTTACTAGACTCTACTAAAGCAAGAAAACATTACAATTCTCAAAACTGACAGTAAAGACATTTATACGTTCGCCAAATTTGTCAGCTTCATAAAAATGTTGTTATTCCGAACATTCTATAAATAAAATAATTCAGTAAAAAAATTTGCATGGTTTATGTATCAATAATTCACAGTATTATAACATGACATTCCAAAATATGTTATCTAGAGATAACAACCGCTAAATAACGCTGGCTCATCCAGGAACTTCCAATCTCCTTGACAGTCATTAAAAATGTTTACATCTGTTTGCTTATGTCCACATTCGTTTGTATCTGCTTGTCTGTCACGCCGCTGTTTTCGTCTGTTTGGCATTGTTTTGTGAATAATAATTGGTAGGTTAGAATCCTTCAAGTGTTTTCGTTTCTGTCAGCGTTTTTATCAGTTCGGCACTATTTTGTGCCTGAATAATGCACAGGTTATTGCATCATTCCTTACAGCATTCATCAGCTCTACTCAGCCGGTTTTGTTGCTGATAGCTTTCTATTTAATTTAGAGATTAACTTGATTTAGAGAGAAACTTTTAAGACTCAGACGAATGTTTTGTGTGCAATTTTTATATTTTGTGTCATGGAATAAGCTAGATAAAATTTTTACAAAACGATTTGCATTGGGCAGCGATAATTCTATCATGCTATATTTTGCAATAGCAACCTCCTGAATGTACTTTATTCATTCATTCATTCTTTTTTTTTTCGGCTTAATCCATTTATTAATCTGTGGTCGCCACAGTGGAATAAACCGCCAACTCATCCAGCATATGTTTTACACAGCGAATGCCCTTTCAGCTGCAATCCATCACTGGGAATCACCCATACACTGTCATTTACATACACACACCACAGCCAATTTAGCTTACCCAATTCACCTATAGTGCATGTTTTTGGACTGTGGGAGAAACCGGAGCACTCAGAGGAAACCCATGTGAATACGGGGAGAACATGCAAACTCCATACAAAAATGCCAGCTGACCCATCCTGGCTCGAACCAGCGATCTTCTTTCTGTGATGTGACAACGCTACCCACTGTGCCACCTTGCCACCCGCATGTACTTCATCTCATTTATTCATTTATTTTCTTTTTAGCTTAGTCCCTTTTTTAATCTAGCGTTGCCACTGCGGAATGAACCACCAACTTACCTAGCAAATGTTTTACACAGCGAATGCCCTTCCAGCTGCAACCCATCACTGGGAAACATTCACACATACTGTACTTATTCACACACTAACACTACGGACAATTTAGCTTAGCCAGTTCACCTGTATACTGTATCTCTAACTCAATATAAAGATGATCCATTATACAAACTGTACACACAATGACAGTTGATTATAACTGAGCACCATATCAGCCTGGCTTATGGAGTAATGATGCTGAAATATTAAGCGTTGCCGTCCCAGAAATTTATTATATTTTTTAAAATAAATTATTTACCAAATTGTTGATATTAAACTATTTGTATTTCTGATATCTCTGCTATCATTACTAGACATGCCTCTTACTGCTGATTGGTTGCAATTGTGTTTTGGGGAATAGTCCAACATTGTACCTTTACATTAGAAAACAGTTGATGTAATCTATAATAGCAAGAGACTTCAGACAACACATAAAATATACAGTTGTAGTCAGAATTATTAGCCCCCCTGAATTATGACCCCCACCCCCCCACCCCCTGAATTATTAGGCCCCGTGTTTATTTTCCCCCCCAATTTCTGTTTAATGGAGAGAAGATTTTTTCAACACATTTTTAGTTTTAATAACTCATTTCTAATAACAGACTTATGTTATTTTTGCCATGATGACAGTGAATAATATTTGACTAGATATTTTTTAAGACACAGCTAAAATGAGTGACAGCTGTACAGCTTAAAATGACAATTAAGGGCTTAACTAGGTTAATTAGGTTAACTAGGCAGGTTAGGGTAATTTGGCAAGTTATTGTATAAGGATGGTTTGTTATGTAGATTATCGGGGGGAAAATCTAGCTTAAAGGGGCTAATAATTTTGTTCTTAAAATGTTTTTTTTTTTTTATTAAAAACTGCTTTTTTTCTAGCCGAAATAAAACAAATGAGACTTTCTCCAGAAGAAAAAATATTATGAGACATACTGTTGAAATTCCCTTGCTCTGTTAAACATCATTTGGGAAATAATTAAAAAGGGGGAAAAAATCAAGTGGGGGCTAATAATTCTGACTTCAACTGTATATATTTAATATATATTTCAACATTTGACCTTTTAGAATATATTCAATGTTTTGTATCATACATAGAGAGAGAGCTACTAATATAGGTTTTAGCTTTTTAACATACTAACATACGTTATTCAAAAGTTCAGAAAAATACACTCAAACATTATTGTTGTGAAATATTAATATAACCATTTTCTAATTTCTCAAGATGCATTTCTTCTTTATCAGTCTCGAAAACAGATGCTTAATATTATTGTGGAAACAATCCTACATTTTTACAGCTAAAAAGAAAGTTAGTATAAGTTTATTAATGCATATTGTAGCATTACAACTGTATTCATTCATCCTTGCTAAAAAAAAAAACAGTATATATTTTAAACTGTGTAATTTCTGTATTATTCTTTTGGTTTTATTGGATTCTGATTCTGATTCTGAAATGAAGGAGGTTGATTAATAATAAACAATTTAGATTTTTCATATTATAATGATTTAAATATATTTTATTCTTATCAAATGTTTCATCATATCTTTATATATTTTATATATTCATGTAAACAATTATATTTATTTTTTCATTCTAATAAAAACAGAAATTATAAAACACATACTTTTGACCAGATAACCCAAAGAGCAGTCTATAAGTTTTATATATATATATATATATATATATATATATATATATATATATATATATATATATATATATATATATATATATATATATATATATATATATATATATATATATACTGTATACTAAGTTTTAAATACTCCATTCTGTCTGTAGCAGAAAATAACAGTACATCTCAATCAGAGTGTTTCATGACTTGATTTACATGTTCAACTATGCAGAAAGGTGAAGTGTATTGGTTTCAGTAACACTCCTGACTGTGATGTTCCTTACACACACAGGCAAGGGAAGGCTTTTATGATCACATGTTGGTTTTGGGGTGTTCAGATGACTGCCAGGCCGCTCTCAGAGGACCACATATTTCCCTAAGGGTTTAATCACTGAACCCTAAACTCTCAGAGAGCAAGGTTAGGTCAAAGCGGAGGCCGAATGTTTGAGTGCATACATGTAATATGTTTGCACTTAAGTATGTGTGCTGTATGAATGCATTTGTGGTGTGTGTCTTATCTGTTTCGGTATGCGTGTCTCTGGGGGATAGAAACATTTTCTGGTGACTAATGTTAGCCACATGTTCCTCTGCTCGCTCAGATTTTTCACCTTGAGACTAAGAGAAAGACGGAGAAGGGGGAGATATAAACTATAGACAGAGAGAGAGAGAGAAGCCAGGTGTCATGAAGAAAAAAAAAACGTATTTTGTCTGCTTAGTGTTTTAAATTTGTGCATGAGTGATGTGTGGATCAGATGGTTGGCAGTATTGGTTACTTGACTTTTGCTTTTAAAGTAATTTACATTTTTACATTTTAAATTCATTTGCTGTGTTGTGCAAGTTACTTCCAAACCATAATATATTATACACTGTAAATTATATCCATAAATTAGCCGTTTTCCATATTTTGTGATTCATGTTTTTATTTTTTATCGCAATATAAAGACCTTTATCTTTCTTCTGACAACTTTTAACCTTAAAAAGTTGAAAAAAGTGACTTTTGTGAACATTTTTAATAGTTTAATGTGATACATTATCAATTAATTATTATTTCAAAGTTCAAACTACACATTTCTTTGTTCTGAATACATGCCCTTTAGAGGTTCACTTAGTATTGTGCCTTTATTATCTTGCGGTATTGATTTTTTATTTATTTTCTTTTAACAATTGGGGGTAGAAAAAAAGTGTGTTGTAACACAAGCATTACTGTACATTTACTGAGTAATCCATTACTGAAATGTATTAATCATTTCTTAATAAATCCACTACTGTGTAATAGCAAAAAGTAATTTGTTACTGTAATGCGTTACTTTTGTTGGGTATTACTCCCACAGCAATTAATTATATAAAAATTTCTGTTAAAGTTTTGGTCTGTGATATTTATTTTTAAAGAAGTCTCTAATACTATTCGGTTATATTTTATCTTATCAAAAATGCAGTAAAACATTAATAATGTGAAATGTTATCATTTAACTCCGGAGCTACCAAAATTCTCTAGATACTAGTATGGCCATAGCAGTCCTTCTGACCGTTCTCGTATAACACATTATATATCGTCACATCATATTTACATTAAACCTTCTATTGTGATATTAGAATTAAGCTTTGAATATGTGTCGTCACATTTTATTAAGTCATTATCCTGAAAAAAACAATCTTTTTGTTTTTGCGCACCTCACTTTCATTTTCCAAGCAGGAGAGCAATGTTTGTTTTTTTTTGTTTGTTTTTTGTCAGAGCACTGAATTTGTTTTTTTAAGAGCTGTCTGAAATAAAACTATAGCTGTGTCTCATTACAGCTTTGTCTAAAAAATGGATTTTTAGTATGTCATGCTCTCTTTGTTTAACACTTGTTAAAATATCCAATTAAAATAAAACCGTATTCATACATTTAATCCAGAGTTTTCTTTTACAAACATTCTGCCATTAACAGCATGCAATGAATCTTGGGATGTTCAAGGATGCAAAGGATCCCCCGGTTGTATCCTTCATTACCTGGAAAACGAAGGATGCAATTTGAAGGAGCTGCGATGACGTAGTGCCCTTTGAATGCATCCATAGGAGGATGCAGCTTCTGAAATGAGACACAGCTTATGTTTTTGCTATCAGAAAGTTATGTTTATGTTAGCAGGAAGTTGCTAGGCAACAGAGGCACACAAATTCAAAGGCAAAAAAGTAGCAGACACTGACCTGTATGAAACCAAATCTTACAAAGCTACAAAGAGTGAGTTTTATGGCATATAGTAAACACAGCATTTTAGTGAGCCCCAGTTATTTCACAAGATCAAAGTTGCAATTGTCAGACTTTATTGTTTCTTTTTTATGTTTTTCTTTTATGTTTCTTTCCTGGCAAAGACAGATCACCAGGTTGATATGTGTTCACTTACCTTAGTCTGAGTTTTAGCTGGTTGCTGTAGTTTTTGCTGTGGCATTTTGGAAAACTGATAAATGCAAAACATTTGCTTTAGAATGCTTTAGAAACCAATTTTGTGCTTCATTTTGTGCATTCTTACAATGTCTGAAAACGCACAATTCATTTGTGTTTGTCCAAGGTGAAATCCATTTCTATAATATTTTCATTCATTGTCATGATGTAAAGTAAGACAGAGGGTCATCTGGGGTACCGGTGTGTGTGTGTGTGTGGCTGGTGGGGAGGCTGTGGTTTTCACTTCACAATGACCGGCGAGACAGTGCACTTGGGGAATTTCAGGACAGCGACACACTCAGATGAAAACAGTATTGTTCTCTGTTCATGCTGTTGTTGTCCTTAGACACTCAAAGGACAGACACATTCACTGAACACAGATGCTCCTGCCTCCGGCTTACACATGGATCTGCTCAATATTTTAAGACACGATGCACACATTAAGAACCATCTATGAAAGATATGGAAATAAAAACAAGGAAGGAAATAAAACAAGAATTGTAGTTTGGGTTGATTCTTTAGGGAGAAAAATGCTGGTTTGCTAACAATTCCTTCATGTTGTACCAACACAAATCGATTAAGTTAACTTAACTGTTTTTATAAATTAAATAGTTCCCCAAAGGGTCAAGTATTGTGTTGATTCATTTCCTTTTACATAAATAGTTTGAACAAACAGCACATGTTTTTTGAGTGTTTTCATTGTGTAAAAGATCTGCAAAGATTAATAACCATTTAAAAAGGATTTTATTACACTCTAAACAGTGCTCGCCAACTCATCGATCAAGATTGCTGTTAATTTTTAATGAGTAGATCTTGCCTTTTTAGCAAAGCTGAGGTTAGGGTTCTTGGGCTTAAAGAGGTTGGTGACCACTGCTGTACAAGCTATCCAAAACAGCATAAACTGGCTCTAATATGAGTAAAGACTGTTATTGCAATTACATTTTTTTTCTCTCTCTGACAGCTCTAACAAGGACAACTCAAGAAGTGTCCCAGTGAATTTGACTCTAAGCATTGTGGCAAGAGCAGAGGTGGAGATAAGAGGGTGAGTATTTCTCTTTATCTGGCTCTTTCTGTCTCACTGAGGAGAAATGAGTTGCCCCAGTCCAATTTCAAAGAAAAATAACCAATATTTCCCTATTAGACTGCTCAGAGAGTTCAAAATGGAGTTTAAATAAATAAAATTATAAAAAAAATTAAAAATATCTGTTTTTGTGGGGTAGTCTGTGAAGAATTAACTAATAAACAGTGTATTCCTATATAATCCCCAGTTTATATACTATATATTTCTATATAAAGTATAGAAATCTGCCACATTGATAATTCAAAAGGGATTTTGAATGATGTTTATTGACTTATACAGTATGTATAAGAATGTATATGCTAAACAGTTGCATCTTACAGTTCTTGCTTGTATTGAAAACTCTCTCTCTCTCTTTTTCCTCAGTGTGTCTCATCCCGCTCAGGTTGTTTTGCCTTTCCCTCGATGGGAGCCCAAAGAGAAACCTGTGAGAGAGGATGAAGTCGGTCCTCAGGTTCAGCACATATATGAGGTGTGAAATAAACAGACACAAAAACTAAATATATATACAATATAATGAAAAATATGAGAGCAATTATACAAATACTAAAACTAACGTGTTTTGTTAAATGGTTAGTAAACTGCAATGCAAACTGTAAAAAAGACCTGGTTCAATAGTAAACACCTTTAATAAAAGTCACGCATACAGAAGTGGACATACAGAAATGGCACAAGATGACTCAGCATATTTTTTTAACAACAACCCACTTTTCTGTCCTAACAAAAAAAGTCAAACGCTTTTCTATTATTAGCAATTTGCTACGCTAACAGCAATAAACTTTCCCCTATGGAGTATAATGCGTTAAGCTAGCAAAAGCCAACTTCTGGAAAGCTATTTATTTGTTGTTTGTTTTTCTGGAGACTCCTGACCTCTTTTTGCTGCACAAGGGCCTCACTAAATGCCATCTGTCCTGCGGCTATTAATTTTTTAATTGGCTGTAATGTTGGCCAGACGCTGTACAGATGGTTTGAGTTACAAGCAGCTTCAGTTATGCCATGTTCTGTCCAAGCGCTAATGCTAGCCTAGGGTGTTTAATGATTTCATATTAAATGTATTTGGCAAAATGTACCAGTTTTTTATAGTAGGCTATAGTACTTTATTTTACAGTGAAATTGCAAAAATATACACTGTATTTTATTACACTGTCTGCATTATAGCAATATTAAGAAATTAACCCTGACCCAGTCATCTAAACTTAATCTTAACCATGTAATTTCCTCAAATTATTGTACTAAAGTACATTGTAAGTTTGCAGTGCTTTTAAATTTAATTTGTTGAGTTGTATATTGTGCTTATTTACAAAACAGAGTATACCTTTTTTATTTTCACCCATTTATAGGGTTTTATCTGTAATCTTAAATTAGTTTTCATCAGTTTTCATAACAGTGCATTTCTGTTAAGCCCTAATGATTATAATCATTATAATTATTATAATGTTAATTCCTTAAAATATTAATATATGAAAATATTCAGTTTCCTCTGAAAATATTCAATATACATCAGTTTATTAGTAAAATTTCAAATTTTTTTACAGAAGTAATAAAAATAGATGCTAATTTATGCTGGTTTTATCACTATAATTTATTTATGTGTCTCTCTTCTTGTTCCCAGTTACATAACAAAGGTCCGAGTTCAATAAGCAGGACAGTGCTGGAGGTGGGCTGGCCCAGTCGCTACCGTGAAGAGCACCTTCTCTATGCACTTCAGGTCATTACTGACGGACCGGTTCACTGCAGCACCAACAGCTCCCTCAACCCACTGGAGTTGGAGGTAAACTCTCTGTCCTGTGCTGCACGTTTACAGAAATGAGCCTGCATCCAGAATTAATACTGCATCAATGAAAGTGACCACCGGACTACACCTTTTCTCATCCCATTTACACTTCTCACTTGTGTTCTTCACTGTCACAAAGCTCTAAACATTATAGCAACATGCTAATTCATGCTAAAAACATGTTCATACTAGCAACATGTTAATAATTGTTAGGGAAAGGAGCAAGGGCTCGAATGCAGGAAAAAATATGGTTTTATTAACTATGAAATAAAACAAAAATGCAAAAAAAAAACACCCAGAGACGGGAAAACAATAACAAAAGGCAAAAACTTGACTGGGCTTACTAGGCAGGGCACCACAGTCACTGGCGCCGGAACATAGGGAAAGCATTGACAACGAACTGGCACCGGACACCAGACAAGAGGGAGCTATAAGCAGAAAGAATTAACAAACAGGTGAATTGAAAGAACTAATTGGATAAGGAGGGTGTGACTAGACAATAGACAGAAGAGCACATGACACAGAGATAGCACAAGCCATGTGCTCATGTAAAATGGGACTAAAATACGCAGCCAGTGAGAGAACTCATTAACCGCGTGTTCACATGAAGCAATACTAAATCACATGGCCACAATGTAAACACAGAGCCACATACTTTGACAACATGAAATGAAACTTACACATGCGACATGCATGTTCCGATCCCAGCGCCAACAGAAACCAAAACCAACTAGACTGATGCTCCGAGTACAAAAACATCATGCCGCGAGCAAAACAACAAACACACCAGGACGAGAGCGCACGTCCTGAGCATGCCTGGACCTCACGCGGCCTGAGTCCAGCCAAGATGGCTCTCATACAAAGACGAAGACAGACATTGACAGGAAATATGAGTTCTCGAAGTGAGAAAACTCAAGTCGAGCACAACATACTAGACAAGACAGGGCTAGTGTCCGGATTCTGCCACCAAAACAAGCATTAACAAGATCGAAGTGACACAATCCTGACGCTAATTGCTAATTACATGCTAATTTGTGGTAAAGTCATGTTAGCAACATGCTAATTTATAGCACCACAATTCATGATAAAAACAATGAAGATAATAAGTTCTCCTACACACTTTTATAGTAAATAATAAAACTTACTGGGCTAAGTCATTAACATTTTGTAGATATAAAGTTTATTGATTACAATACTCATCAACTGTTCTCATAAAATCAAGGTTTAAACCTCTTTAAACCAATTTTTTTTATATATATGCTAATTCAAATATTTGCTACCAACATGCTAATTCTGGTATCCAACATATGCTACTTGATTTGCAGACAACAAACTAATTTGTGCAAACAATACACTAATTTGTGTAAAGCATATACTAATTACATGCTAATTTATGTGAAAACATTGATGATTTAACAATTGATGTTAGTCTTTCTCCATCAGTATTTCTCACTCTTGTGTCCTCTGCTGTTATCAATCTCAAGTTTCTGTGCTTTTACTAATGAGTTTCAAATAAATGTAAAATGGGGGCTGCTAAGCTCGGCTAGTTTTTGATCAGAGTGTTGGACTAATGCTGACCCCTCTGCTCTCTCGACTGGTCTTTATTATCGCTCTTCAGATTTCACATGCAGTCATTATGAAGCATCACGGCGTCCTCATGAAGTCTCTTCTCCTTGTAACTGATCTGCGTTCATGCTGAGTTCAGAATTTTAACCACCTGGACTGATATTAGAGCTTTTCTTGTGAACTTTACAGGAGGGAGATTTTGGCCCAGAACCGCAGTGTCTGGCGTTTTGACTACTTTACATAGCGACAACTCCAGTTCACAATATTAGTGACTAACTTCTTTATTATATTTTTATCCATTTTAACTTAAGGTTAAATATTAATAAATATTATGATGTTATATATTTTTTTCTAATGGCAGTTTAATTTTATAATATATTATGTGATTTCCTGACACAATGTAGTTTATTACTATTATTAATAATAATAAAAATAATTAAGTTTCCCCCAACGTCCAAAGACGATTCCAAAAGTTTTAGGTATAAGAAAAAAGCAAGTTTAGGCTGAAAATGACAGACTAAGGGTGAATCCCAATTCTATTTTTTACCCCTACCCCTTCCTCTTGGCCCTTAAAACAGAGTGTGAAGGAGAAGGGCTTCAAATTTTACCCCTAAGAAATGAGACTATAACACCTGCACATCTCATCATATGTTATCGCAATTTCTTTTTTCATTTGAGATCAGATGATCACGACTGCTGTAGTGATTCCAGATTTTTTATTTTTTTGGTATTTATCTTCAGAAAATCACTAAAGGCATATATAATAATATAATGTGGCAATAAGTTTGTAACTGTACTCTGCATTTACACAGTGGCCATAGTCATCTAAAGCAGAGATGCCCAATCTAGGGCCCGTGTGTCATGTAAGAAACCGGGAGAATCCAACTGCGAATGAAAGACAGTTTAATGAAGTGCAACAGTAAATATAGTTTTAAAGTGCTCAAAGGGATAGAGACTTGTAGAATGTCCAGGACGGAGAGCTACCACAGGTCTAATAGATACACGTCATCCAACGGTCAAGACTAGAGAGAATACCTGGACATGACACAGAAAGGAACATAAAAACAACAACGGACTGATTACCAACAGTGAAACACAGACTGTTATATTGCCCACAAAACAGGCATCAGCTGGGACTCTCTGATTAGGTCAGCTGATCAGAATGCAGGCTACCATGAAAAGGTCAACAGACACACCCACCCACACAGGCACACTACAACACATACGTCATAACACATAACATACAGGAAGAATACACAGACCCATAAACCGTGACAACGTGGGCCTAAGTTAGCCCATGGAAACCTTTGGTTTGCCATTTCAAATTTAATACTTTCAAACTTTTATCTGTTTGTTTTATTGTTAAAGCTACAAATATGCTAACTGAATAGAAATGTTTTAATTTGAAATGCTGTAATTTAGTTTAAAATGTACATACTGTCACCTGACAGATAGAGGACAATGCACAGGACTTTGGTGAGCAAATCAAAAACAGATTCTGCTTGACCAGTGTATTCAGAATTGAACTTCGCTGTATACTTTAAAAAGCTACTGCATTTGTTAATACAATTCAAAGTGACTAATAATTTGTTAATATTATAAAATAAATTGGGAAATTACCCATGGCAACTTTAATGTAAAATATTTTGATATATTTATCTTCAGCCCACGACTGTCTGTAATATTTGTTTTTTTGACCTTCCTGTGAAAAAGTTTGGGCACCCCTAATCTAAACACACAAAAACAACATTAACATTAACGTAATACCAGACACTGTAAAAAATTCATTCCCAACCACTTGACTCTTCTGACAGGGTATTCGAGTGTCATCGAGTGACTGATGTAAAATTTGCTGTGGGACTATAGAGTAGAGGATTATAGAGTTATGGATTATAGATAGCAAAATTAAGCTTTTATTAAAATATTTTTTTAAAAGCATGACTGTAAAACATGAACACCGTTATGAATTTAATAAAACATATGCTTGTTTGTTGTAAAAATGAGCAAAAATGACAACAAATACTAATTTGTGCATCTCCTGACTTTCATGTGCAGCCACACTGCATTGTAGATAATGTAATTTGTGAAATTTTTGTACCCCTTGGTTTCTAGTTTAGTCCTGAGAAATCTCAGTTTCAAGGACTATTTAGCCCTTCTCCTTCTACGCCTTCATGCTAAAGAGAATTGGGACACCCCTACTTCTTTATGTGAATGCCCAATATGAGGGGTAGGGGAAGGGCTAAGGGACAGAATTGTGATTGGGCCTAAAACTGAACTAAAAACTGCATTTAATTTGAGCTAATATTTTAAAGTAATTTATTTAAGCTAAATATAGTTGTTATAAGTAAACACATGATAAGATGACAAATGTGTAACTTAAATTTTAAATGCAAAATAACAATTAAGAAAAAAATATTTTTAAAAAACAAAATACTTATAAATAGTTCATTACTAAATAGGGCAGCATGTTGGCGCAGTGGGTAGCACAATCGCCTCGCAGCAAGAAGGTTGCTGGTTCGAGCCCTGGCTAGGTCAGTTGGCATTCCTGTGTGGAGTTTGCATGTTCTTCCTGTGTTCGCGTGGGTTTCCTCCGGGTGCTCTGGTTTCCCCCACAGTCCAAAGAATTGGGTACAGGTGTGTGAAGGAGTGTTTCCCAGTGCTGGGTTGTGTATAAAACATATGCTGGAGAAGTTGGCGGTTCATTCCGCTTTGGTGACCCCAGATTAATAAAGGGACTAAGCCAAAAAGAAAATGAATGAATGAATGAATGAATGAATGAATGAATGAATTAGCATTACTAAATAATACTAAAATATTACAGATTTTATTATTTTCTACACACACTGTTTTTGTATGATATTAATTGCATCTCTGTATTTCTTCTGCATGCTTGTAGACCTCGACTCTTCAGGACACTCCAGAGTTACTGGGCTTCCTGAGGAACAGCAGCGGAGTGACCCGCCGAAGACGATCTGTTTCTATAGGCCAAAGCTACAACAGCAAAACACTGGTACAAACACAAACAACCCATCTGAACACACAAAACCATCTCCTACATGTGACAGATTGACTCATATGTTGAACTTGACTTGTATTGGGGACCTGTGTTGACCTCAGAGGGCGAGTTCACCTGTAAATCTCCTAACAGCTCATCCATATTATGCTTATTGTCTCTTTAGGGGATTTGTGTGTGCTCATGGGACAGATGGTTTTCATAATCATAGTCCATCTCGCCACAGGTTATAAGATAAGTTGGAGCACAGGTCAAGTCAAAACTGATGGCATTCATATTACATGCACATCAGCACTCAAAAATGAAAATGTAAATACTTTAAATCGCTCACAATCAAGTGTGAGGCTTTAACACACAGCATATCTGGTACAATGAGGTCAAGATGCTTATACTGTATATGAATTTTAGATTTTTTAACTTGCCCTCCAATTTTTGGGAAGTGTAATATTGTGCAAATATATTTTATTAACAGATAACAGATTTTCTCTTATTTAATGTGATCTTTATATTTTAATTAGTAGTAGTAGTAATGGTAGTAGTAGTTGCAGTAGTAGTAGAATTCAATAGGATTCAGTATTCCCACATTTAGGCGATGCAGTGGCGCAGTCACCTCACAGCAAGAAGGTCGCTGGTTTGATCCTCGGCTCAGTTGGCATTTCTGTGTGGAGTTTGCATGTTCTTCCTGCGTTTGTGTGGGTTTCCTCCGTTTTCCCCCACAGTTCAAAGACATGTGGTACAGGTGAATTGGGTAGGCTAAATTGTCCGTAGTGTATGAGTGTGTATGTGAGTGTGTGTGGATGTTTTCCAGAGTTGGGTTGCGGCTGGAAGGGCATCCGCTGCGTAAAAATGTGCTGGATAAGTTGCCGATTCATTCCACTGTGGTGACCCTGGATTAATAAAGGGACTAAGCCTACAAGAAAATGAATGAATGAATGAATTCCCACATTTAATAAATTTATGTTTCAAATAAATAAATATTGTTTAATGAAGTGTAAGTTAGATTAAACTGCTTTACATTAAAGTCTGCTATTCACACATAATAATGAATAGGGAATATTTCCGGCAAACTGTAATGCCATTACAAAATCTCTGTGCTGAAGATAAAGAGCATAGAATCACCAAGAGGCGACATTCTAGTGCAATTTGGGAAACACCCACTAGATGGCGCGGTGGCCATGTTGGAATGAAAACTCCAATTGAACAACAACTTATTATAAGTCTGAAAAATAAACTATTAAAAGTGCTGATGATTGTCATAGTAAATGTTGTATTGTCATCTTTCAGGTTGTATCTCAGCTTTAATGTGCTTATAAAATAAACAAATAAAAAACAAAGTAACTGCTTGCCATTGCGACAGCAATAGGATCCATTGAACAGTCGATCATTTTCACTCCAAAATGGCGAAATCTGGAGCTGTTGCTGAGTGCTGCTGTTGCAATGGAACGTTCTGTTTAGTGTCACCTCTTGGTCATTAGCCCTTTTCACACATACAGACCTTTCCGGAAAATTGCCGGCAATTTTCCGGAAAGGTTGTATGTGTGAACAGGTCCTTTTTGAAAATACCGGTATATTCGTTCTGGCTATTTTCCGGAAAGAGAAGTTGTAACATTACCGGCAATTTGCCGGAATGCTGCGCTGTGTGAATGCAGAAGGATGATTGCCGTAATAAGCGCGTGCACGTCTAGAACGTGCTGACGTGAGATGTCTGCTTTAGCCAATCACAACAGTCAGGCGCGTTTACGTCCGCGCGGTTTGTGAGAATAAAAGCCTTTGAATATTTTTCCAGACACATTTAGCTGCTAGAAGTTAGTCAGATCACGTTTATATGTTCTTCTTAATGCCAACTGTGTAAATAATCATCGATAAGATGCTTATGATAAGCCGTTGTTTGTTTACCTTCAAGCTTTGCGTGTGCCTGTGAAACAGCCTGTGATCGCCTGCACACGCACATATTATGAACATCTCGACATGCGAAAGTGATCCTGCGAAAGTTGTTCACAATATCATCCACAGAGTTTGTAATTTAGTCAAATGTTTACAAATACAAGCGCAGCCGTTTAAAGCTCATTTGTGGTGAATGATGTAAGAATTCACCGGTATTTTGGAATGGATGTGTGAATGCTCTTTTCCGGAAAATTTCAATAACGTCCTCGCCTGTGTGAACAGCGCTTTTTTGAATATACCGGTAAAGTCGTTCCGGAAATTTTCCAGATATTTACCGGTATCACTGTGTGAAAGGGGCTGTTCTAAGCTCTTGGCTTAAAATCTGTTTTGTTTAGTTTTTTGTTTTGTTTTTTTTTTTTTTTGTGATCAATGATCTTCACCGCCTGATGGATATAGCATATCAAGTGGGTCTGACAAAAAGCACTAAATTACATTAAATTCCATTGTTCTGCACCATGTCTTTAAAATAAGGAAATTTATTTTACTACTGGAGTTTCTGTGCTCACCAGCTGCTCCTGAAGGTGTTTACGTGTAAACAGTCTTTCAACTAATTTTACACCTGAACAACTAAATGAATGCCTAAGTCTATTGAACTGAATATACTTTAATTACATTACAACGTTGATGCTGTAAAAGGAACCTTATAAAATAAAGTAGAAAGTAAATAATAAATAATAATAATAACAAATAATAAATAATAAAAATAAATAAAATGAAAGTAGTCACATTTACCTTTTTAATGGCTGAAAAAATGCCAGCTGTGCATATTGACCTAATTCTTCAGTGTGGAAGTGTGCTCGTTTTTGAGATTGTTTTAGAACTTCTGATTCAGCTGCCCATGGGAGAAATAACTAGGAATAATAAACTACAGAAAACGGTCAAACTACTTGCTCTACAAACAAGTGTTTGCATGGTTATACAGTCAAAGCAGAATAATGTAATAAAAAAATGTCAGTTTGCAACATCAAGCAGCATAACGAGCTGTTTTTAATGTTTAAAAATGAACAGAAGTGAATAAGACTGGAAGTCTCAAGCCTCAATTCTCAAGCAGAATTGTTTATTTGATTAGTCTCGTACATCACTGATATATACTGTACATCACACACACAACCCATATTTAAAATTGAACAGTAATTTATGTGCCAGTAATTCAAATGTGGTATTTTTTAAATCCTACATATAAATCAAAACATAAAAAAGTAAAGCAAAAGCAGTATTGTTTATTTGACTAGTCTTGTACATCACTAGTACATTCTTTCTCCACAAACAGGAAGAGACTATCAGAGTTTCTTAAGAGAGTGTGAAGGATGCGAAATTAGATCTCATTTTCTCTTATTGTGTGTGTGTTTTTGTTTAGAACTGCTCGAATATCAACTGTCTGATGGTGGAGTGTGTAGTGGACCGTCTGGATCGAGGGCAAAGTGCAGTGATCAAGTTCAGATCTCGACTCTGGGCTTACACCTTCTTACAGGTTTGTACTATATCACACAAATGTCCTTTTAGTTTTTAATCTATGATTTACTATTATTCTATGAAATTATATTTGAAGTATGTACTGTAAGGGCTTTTAAAATCAGTGGGCTTCAGTGTTGTTTGGTTCAGAACATTCTATAAAAAATAATTTTTTAGAGAATAAACAAAAATTGAGAACACAATTCGTTTTTCCCCATTTCATCAAAAACTAGAAAATGCCCTAAATTGTGAGCAACTAAAAATTGGAAACTTGCATATATAGGAGTGGAGGGGTCTAAAGTAATACTGAAACTAATAACTTTTAGTTTAGTTAAAAATATTAAGAAGAGTTTTCAAAATATGCTATTTTCTATTGTGGAATTCAGTTTAATGTGGCACAAGGAGGAGTAAATTACACAGAAAACTAAATGAGTGTACTGTCATTTAAAAAAAAACAGAATAAGAAAAAAAAATCCCTCAGAGCCCAACATCTGCTGGTCTTTTCATCCGAGATGCACTGAATGTAATAACAGAGCGGGATGCAGCGTGGAGTCCACTGTTGTGTATAAACATTGACAAAGTGTCTCAGTGTTTTTAGATGTTATCTTCGCAGTATCTCTGTAATGTCCAGCTGGTGATTTTCACTCCTTAAATCACTGACGGATCAAAGGCTCTTATTAAGCTGCGTTTACACTGACTCTGATTTGCAGCAACAAACTGACCGGCAGTAACTCAATTTCAACAAAAGTCTGCTATTTGAGGCGACAGACATTTGCTGATGCAGGAGATGTGAGCAGAGTTCATCTTAATGTAAATGTACAACACAATTTAGCAACTGAAGTAAGTATAGAGGGAAACATTTAAAATAAACTTTATTTCCCTTGTGTTGTTTTAATGCTGAATAACTTGCTTTCGACTGTGAAAGATAAATTAGGATTGTTTTTGAGTAATATTTAAAAAAAAAATTTTATCCTTCACACAATGAAAGTCTAAGATCTCTAAAGACATTTTAACCCCCTGAATGCATTGTTTGATTTCTGTTGCAAAGAAAAGAAGTCACACTGGAGCCACATTTAAGATATTTAAAGTTAGATTAATTAATTTAAGATTAAGAATATTTAAGATTAAGAAGTCCACTGTTGTGTTTAATTAATTAAATTAATCAATTTTAGATATTTCTATAAAATACAATCTAAAAAAGTTTTGAAGAATGTTCCTAAGTGCAAGTCGTAGACATTTTCTGATATATTTATAAAAATAATACTATATACTATAATAATACTATATATATATATATACTCTTTTTATTCATTTTGCCGCAGCTCCGCTCTTCTTATTTATTTTTTCGCAGCCCCGTGAGCAAAATGCAGCCTGCAGGTTAATGATGATGTAATATAATTCAACCCCTAACAGCGGCACCTTAGTGAAAATAAGAATTCAAATAATTAATATTAATGAATAATACACCTGCTCAATGAAAATCAGATGATTCACTACATTAATAAATCTGACATAACTTGATCAGAACTCTAAAAAGGGAAGAAAAAGATCAAGCCATCATTAGAAAGTAATTACCAGTGCCATTGTGGTCCAGTGGTCATCATGTTTTGTTATGACGTCGAAGACCCATGTCCGAACCTCTCCTGAGTAATTATTTTTATTTATTTATTTATTTTTTTTTTTAATCATTTTTATTGTTTAGCCATATAATACTGTTAGGGTTGTTGAACATTTGAAGTTCTAAAGCAGCTGTTTTCTTGAAGAAGACGTGATAGTATCATTATGAAATGAATTGGAAATGACCTTATTTTAATATAGTCAGTTGTGAACTGAGGTGGGCCAGTCCAAGGCTTGAAACTCCAGGGCTGAAAAGGAGTCCCACTCCGGCCCTGGTTTAGGCATGGCCTAAACTTCATCCCTGTATGATTTCGAAGGTAGCACAGATGCATCCCTTGCAGCCTTTAATATCCTTCACATTCCAGTCCATAAAATAACAAACATGGCATTTTTATCCACCATTTGAGTGTGATTTTCTGTGGAAATGTACGTTTTTACCAACAATTTCCACTTTTGATGGCATTTCTAATGAGAAGATAGTATTGTAGTAAGCAGATATTCCTTTGGCTACGACCAAATCTTTTTTGTTGTACATGATTAAATTGTCATGTTGTCTCAGACGTTTATCTGAAATCAGTTTTATGAGGTGCCTTCATGCACAGAAGCTGCCTTCAGAGTCTGCTTGATAGGGCAGCGAGGCAACAAATCAGCTGCCTAAGCTTTTGGACATAGAAAGTTGCTAACCATAGAAAGTTGCTAACGTTCTAGTTAACAAGTGTTTACTTCACCTGTTGAAATGTCAGAGATGACCCTTGGCTTAAGATCATCTGTGGTGATAATTTTAATAAAATTTGCAGCATGAGATGTGCCACACTTATCAAATCATGTGGTGTGCGCATGTATACAATTAAAAATGCCTGATATGTAGTCTAAATTTAGAAAGAACATTTTTTGACTTTGATCTCCAGTTTGGAACAACATGAGGATTAGTAATTGATTACAGAAAGCCAATTGTTCGAAATTTCCATGTAGCACAGTGTTCATGGTAAGAGTTCCTCTCTCAACACAACAAAGTGTTTAACTGGTGCTCAAATGTTCTCCTGGTGTCACAGGACATGACATCACCGGTACAGTTAGACACCTTAAACACCTCAGTCATGTGACATTGTTAACCATGACATCATCTGAACAAAATGCCTTTCATCTCACCTCCAGAGGAACGTCCACAGAAAGCAGACACATGTATAAAAGCACGTTCGCTGACGTGTGTATGTGCGAGAGTGATCCTAGTTTAAAGGAAGTGCTTTAAGTTTTTGTTTTGCTGCTCTTTTGACCATTGCTTCTCACTAAGCCTCATTCATGCTGAAGCCATTACAACCCAGCGCACTGTCAGACACCCGCCATGTGCGTCCTGTTAATGCTAATCTGACATTTTCCTCTCCGGCGAGGGGGTCGGAGTCTATTCTGAGATGTTTCCATGTGTGTTGTATTTGCGCTAATCCATTGCTTTCCTCTGGCAGAGAAGGAATGACCACTACACGCTAAACTCCACAGTGTCCTTTCAAGTGACGGCCATGCCTTATCGCATCAAAGCTGAGACACTCCCACGCCAGAGCAAATCAGTGAGTAATACAATTGTGATTGTGTGGGCACAGATTAATGAAGAAAACAACAGACGATGTGGCTGAAAGACAAGATTTTTTTTACTTAAACCCAAAGCATACTTAGTTTTTTTATGTACGCTTACAAAAACAATGATCGACAAACTTTGTCCCCTTACTCATGCACTCATCAACTTGGGTGTCTGTTGTTTTTATCATTTTCAGTAGTTTGTTGTTGTTTCTTTTATTCCGATTGTATAAATACAGCTTGGTTCAGTGTTGCCACCTGGTGGATAAACTAAATAGTGCAAAATATGTAATAATAAAGTATATTCTGACCATACCCAGCAAACAATTTTTGTGTTTAAAAGTTATCTAAAAATAGACAGCTTGGCTAAAACAAAGCTAAACTTGGGCTGTCAGTGAAACCTAATACACGTTTAAGATTAGACCAAAACTAGACTAGTCGTCAAATAGACAAATTAGACAGACTTTATATGTATAGTCATTCATTTCTGTTTATTCGATGACTAGTCTAGTTTTGGCCTATTCTTAGACGTCTATTAAATTTTCACTGACAGCCCAAATTTAGCCTTGTTATAGCCAAGACAAATATTAGACATCTTTTAAAAACAAAAAAGGCTTGCAGGGTAACGCCCCATTCACACAGGGCATCAGCGCCAACACTTACCATTCACTTTGAATGGGTGACGTCAAGCATTGCCGAACTGAATTGTGGATCCGTCAGTGGTGCTTCATCGGTGTTGCTTGTTGCAGAAGTTGAGAACTTCTCAACTTTTCAGACGCTTACTGAAGCATCAGTCAATCAGATTGCTGTAAGCAAATACCCTAGCTCAGACAGTAGCCAATTGTGGACTAATTTCATTGGCTGATGTTGCTATGATGATAGCATCAGCCCCAATTTCAGACACACCCTCCATCAAGCATTGACGCTGAAGCCCTCTGCGAATCAGGATGGAGCTTTTAACTAGGCTAAAGGAAAGTAACATTGCTTTTTTGCTTACTGTCAATACTTTCTGTTTAGAAAAGGGTGGAAATAATCATATGCTAAATATTGGAAATGTTGCGGGAACAAATTTAATAAATTTTATCACTAAAGAAATGTGCCACAGTATGCACTACTGTTTTTAAAAATATTAAGAGATTAATTATTATATTCTGCTAGGATGCACTAAATCGATCATTATTAACAGTAAAGACATTTATAATAATATTATTTTTAGCTTTTGTTCATCAAAGTATCCACCAAAATTATGCAGCACAATTGTTCATAACAGTAATAAAATATACACTGCAAAAAAATGTTTATCTTTTTTTGTCTTGTTTCGTGTCCAAATATCTAAAAATTCTTAAAATTAGATCAATTTTCTTTGTAGACAAATGACATGAGATAATTGGCCTTGTTTTCAGGGTAAAAACAATACAATTTTGTGTATTTTTGGGGTAAGAAAAATATTCTTAAATCAGGATTATTTTGCTACCCCTCTATTCTAAAATAGATTTTTTTTTCTCACCCCACTGGCAGATTATTTTACTTTTTTTAAGCAAAATACACTTAATTTGGAAGTTTTTTTTCTGAAAACAAGGCCAATTATTTAATGTCATTTTGTCTACCAAGAAAACTCATCTAATTTTAAGAATTTTTAGATATTTGGACTCGAAACAAGACAAAATTTCCAAGTAAGATCAACATTTTTGTTGCAGTGTTAGAAATATTTCTGGAGTACCAAATCAACATATTAAAGTGAATATTCCAATAAATTTATAAAGGATCATGTGACATTAAAGACCGGAGATGCAGTTCCTTAAAAAGTATCTTTGCTTTTACAGAAATTAACTACATTTTAATAATGCAAATTGGCTCAGTGGTTAGCACTGTCACTTCACAGCAAAAAGGTTGCTGGCGTTTCTGTGTGTTTCTTGCATGTTCTCCCCATGTTGGTGTGGGTTTTCTTCCAGGTGCTTTGGTTTTCCCCACAGACAAAAGAAATGTGGTATAGGTGAATGAAATAAACTAAATTAACCGTAGGGTGTGAGTGTGTCTGAATATGAGAGTGTATGGGTGTCTTCTAGTACCTGGTTGTGGCTAGAAGGGCATCTGCTGTGTAAAACATATGCAGGAATAGTTGGCGGTTCATTCCGCTGTGGCGACCACTGATAAATCAGAGAATAAGCTAAAGGAAAACGAATGAATGAATGAAAACAATTTACAAACAATTTTTCGAAATTAACTCCAAACTTTTGAATATTATAAAATAATAAACTACAATGTTTTTTTTTACTTAGTTCAATTGTACTATTCTAAACATATCTTATTATTCTTAAAAGTGTAACGGATAGCTATATCCTTTTAGTGCCACAGTACTTTTTTAAAAACCCTCTTGATGTCTATTAACAGCATTGTCAGCATTTCTTAGCTAAGTGCTGTAAGCAAATCATTAAGACTCCCAATTTCTACTCTATGTACCATGTAAAACTGTCAAAAAAGGAGGGAAAAAGCAATAAACAAAACTTTCTGAAGGAGCTTCTGTTACATTTAGTCGTAAGATGATTCAGAGATGAGAGATGATAACGGAAAATGAGCTGCCAGTCTGATTTACGTGTGCTAATATCGTAGCTACATCAGTTCTAGTGAAATATTAATGACCTCTGTGTTTGTGTTCGCTTGTGTTTTTAAGATCGGCACGTTTGTGGTGTGGGCCATTCCTGACGTCTCCTTTGCCATTCCCCTGTGGGTCATAATTCTGGCTATACTGCTGGGACTGCTGGTGCTGGCAGTGCTTAGCCTAGCAATGTGGAAGGTAGGTCATAAAAAAGACTGAAAATACATGTTTATGATACTGTTGGTTATTTATTTGTTTATTTTATTTTTTTTATTTTTTTTCAAATAAATGCTGTTTGAACCTTCTATCAATCAAATGATTCTAAAATGCATCATGTTTTCCACAAAGTATTAAAGCAAGACAAGTAAAACTTTTTTATGCACCTGTCAATTTTATGGTTTTAAGGTTGTTTGGCTTTAATTAAATGTTAGTCTAATGTAAAGAATAGATCCACAACACACTTTTAAGTGTTTCTTTTGTCACAATATATCTTATATATCAATATATCTATATAACACATTGTGTCTATGTCTATGCTTATATGTTAGTTTTCTCCAACAATGAGCCGTAACCATCTCTCTCGTTACAAAGTTCACGCGAACGCACACACACACACGTGGATGCACATTAATATCCTCTGCTGTATGGATATTTGTTATGTTATTAATCAGGTATGGTAAACAAACCAGGATTGAATGGTCTTCTTTTATAATTTTACTGACATCCGTCTGTAGTGATGAATCACACAGGCATTTTACTGCCTTTATTACAAACAGGCACCTTTTTGTTTTAACATTGTAAAACTCATTTTGGAGGTGCAGATGATCACAGAGAGCTGAACAGATCTTTTAATCCTGGTTGCTTTGCGCACATCCTGCCTTGTGGATATGATTACTATAGAGTTACTATGGAGACATGTTAATACGTGGCTGTCAAACAATTTGGTGGGCGGGGAAGCTACACTCCTCACATTGCAGTGGGCCTCAAAATGAGAGAGATTTGAATCCTATTTTAAGTTCGTCAGGAAATTTAAAAAAATACACTTGTGCTTATATCACTTCAGTATGACCATGGGCACACTAAACCTACACTCAGTTCTGTCTAAATAGCTTCCAAAAGATGATTTTTGTCATAGGTGCCCTTTAAATCGCAACAGTGTTTCACTGTATACTTAGATGTTTGCCTCTATGAGCAGTAGAAAGTTTTAAAAACATAAAAACGGAAATACACGTTATCAGAGTGTTTTACGTTGATGTTGGCATTACTTGTTACATCTTCAGTGAAATGCGTCTCCAACTGCATCTCTGCTTCAGTGAAATAGCAAAACAATGAAACTACAGGGGTCAAGTTAGATGGCTGTTGGAGATAAAGCTAGAGAAGGAGATGCTAAAGGAAGTGGAGAGGGGGGTTGGAGGAAGTGAAGTGAAAACAGGAATGGGGAACCCTGAAGAACTCGATGAAAATTGGCAAATGAGATAAGGAGATTGGGGGAGAGCGAGAGATAGGGAACACTGTTGCATTTGGGCATTAATGAGCCATTTTGGATGTTATCAGTGTTTTGTCTGCAGGGCTGTTCTCAGGCTCTTGATTGGGTCCCTGTGGAGGAGACCTACCCTAATTGGCCAACATTCACACAAACACAACGATATTTGAAGAGTGATGTGTGTGTGTGTGTGTGTGTGTGTGTGTGTGTGTGTGTGTGTGTGTGTGTGTGTGTGTGTGTGTGTGTGTGTGTGTGTGTGTGTGTGTGTGTGTGTGGGAGAGAGAGGAAAATATTAATCGGATGTTGGAAAGGGGGTTTTAGAGCAGCTGTGGCTCAAGATTTGAGTTTAACACGGGCCATTATACACTTTTCAGATAGTGTCACATAAAATGGATTAGAAGAGTAAGGGAAAACACAGATTCGTTCTACTCAGAATACAATGTAATGGCCCCCTCTTGTGGTGTCATTGGTTGTTGAAATGTTAATAAACTATCTAATATTAAAACAAGATCTGAAATCATGCTTCGTTTCAATTGAATAGTATGTAATACAGTTTTGTTATTGTTTTTTGTTACCAATTTTCTTTAACACTTTATATAACTTTATTATGAGTTTTCATAAATGTACTTATTTGATTAGTGATTTACAAATGTGAAGAGATTATTTAATTCTTTATTAATTATTCTTATTTTCAAAAAGCTTTGTAATTTTTACGTAATATTTGTATGTAAATATACTTTGTAATATTTGATTAATTTGTGTTAAATAATATATTTACTCACTACAAAAGCATCGGTGTAGTTATGAGTTGAGTTATGGTCAACGTTAAACCAAGTTCCTGACTCTCTATGGTCATTCAAAAACCCCATGGCATTGGTGCAGTGTGAATTTGTCCTTAAGAGTTTGCATTTCCACCTTTTTTTACTTTCCACCTCAGAAGACTGCAGCAATTTAGAGCTCAAAATCAGCACTTTTGTTGCCATTGTCACACAATTCAAGTTCTTCCACTCAAAGATGTTTTTTTTAAAACACTACACAATTTTAACACAATATAGTTCAAAGTACCGGCTCAGATAATTAACTGATACTGATATTTTCTGTTATTGGTGGGTACCAGTCATTAGTGGGGCCAGACAAAATCTGAAGATGATTTTTGCTATTTCTGCGGAGAATTTTGGTAAAAGTCTGCGGATTTCTGCGGAATTATTTTGAGAGTATCAAAACTAAAACCTTAATATAAGAAATAAAAAATAATATCTTTTTAACTTTTATTTAATGTTTAAAATGCAAATCCAATTAGATTCACTTTATTTGGTAAATAAAGCAAGTTCGTCAAGTAATATATCTAGTAAAAGACAGAAAATATTAACGTACAAACTGATTTGAACATAAATCAGATGAACATTTTCATATTAGTCAATAATATTACTAAAATTAATTAAAAAACTGAATAATAGATTTACACACATTTACTCCAGTAAAAAAACAGAATTAAGGATGGGCTAAAAATCTGCGGAATTCTGCGCGCGCAGATTCTGGGTGGGCCTAGTCATTAGCCAATACATTGATGCATCTATATTATTACCAGAGTTGGGTGTAATGTGTTCCACAGTAACACGTTACTGTATTCTAATTACATTTTTGAAAAACGGAGTAATTTAGCGAATTACATTTTACATTTGTGTTATTTGATTACTGTTAGTTAAGCATTTCCCAGGTGCTCCAAGTTTAAAATCGTGAGTCACGTGACAAGAACTGACCAGTCAGTTTCAAACTTTGGAATATAGACATTTAGGTAGACTAATTACCTTAGACAAACACAGAACACCCAAACACTGCTGTCCTTTTTCATACTATGGATGTCAGTGGTTACATGTATCCAGTTTTCTTCTAACTGTATTCTTTTGTGTGTTAAAAAAAAAAAAGACAAACAGGATTGGATAAAGTAAATGATGAGAGAATTTTAAGTTTTGGGTGAACTCTAAGTCTTTTGAATATGTCAAGCTGCTGTGATCAATCTGTTAATTGATTGAATCTGTGAATATTAAATCACTGAAAGAGCTGCAGTTTATTTTGTATTTTATAGGTTTATTTTATGTTTTAAAAGTAACGTAATTAGTAATCTTATTACTTTTTACATGAAGTAATTAGTAATGTAATCAGATTACATTTTCCAGTAGTAATCAGTAGTTTGTAATCAAATACTTTGTATTTAAGTAACTTACCCAACTCTAATTATTACATATATTCACTGCCTTACTAATATCAGCTACTCATCTACAAAGCAAAGGAACTGCATGTTTAATTTAGAATTGTGAAAATTTGTTAACGAAATCGATTCTTCGTCAATTCCAAGATTTTCAATATGCTTCCCTATATTGTCTCTTGAATCAATTTTGTGCTTAATTTTAAACAGCAGGGAGCGCTCTAGGCTAATTTTTTTACCGTACATTCAAATGTACGTGTTCATTCGGGGAGTTGGGTTTTATGTCACAAGATTAATGTAAACGTAGCTCACTAACTTTATTAATGATTAATTTATCTAGTTTATCATGAGTACTCTGGGTTCTACGTCAAGATAAAAAAAAATAGTAGCTCAGTTTTAAAAAAATAGAACAAACAATTTGTTTTTAATATAAAAAAATTATTGTGCAGCGCTTACACATTAGAGGAAGTACTGGCAAAAATGTATATCTTTTATTTTTCAGTTGCAGATACAACTGAAATGGTTGCACAATACAACCCTGGTTTTGTACTGCTGCTTAAAAAAAATCTGGTCAATCAGCATATCTATAATTGGACATTTAATTGTAGTCCTCTGAGTGAATCTCGTAAATGTCTGAGAGCACATCTGTGCAAGTGTTCCACCAGACAAAACATTTGAAGCAATGAATCATGTCTGTCATGCTGGGGATCATATTTATATATTCTGCTATTTTTTCTTCCCCCACCTGCTCTCTTTCTTCAGTGTGGCTTCTTCGATCGTGCGCGGCCACCCAAAGATGATGACGTGTCAGACCGCGAGCAGCTGACCGCAGAAAAATCCACAGACGCGTGAGAGCAGACCAGATGACCAAAAATGAACGAAGAGGCCATGGATTGAATCTCCATGAAGACAGTGGAGGAGCTGCGTCCAAGAGTTCAGTATCTGCTGAAGAACACAGATCAAAGCCTCTAAATAAACTACAGCTCCCACACTGGACTGCCATCTGTGAGCTGGGCCACAGTTCCACTCAAAAACATTTATTTAAATTGACGGATAAGAGCAAGAACTCTGAGCATTGCACACTGATAGAGCTGTAATATACACAAGATCCAATGAGCCACTTGACTAGAGGCTGATCAGTACAGTCCAAAAACATCAAGATCTCATTGTCCAATCAACTCCATTGACTTCTTTTTTTATGGTTGTGATGAGGATTTCCGAGGACATACTGTTTAACTGTATCAGTGGAACTCAAGAATATTTGATCTCAATCACCAGCTCAAAACAGGATCTGGATCATTCCGCAATTCACCTTACTTTGGCTGCATTTACACTGCATCTAAATATGGAGTCACTCCTCTTTTAAGACCTTTTTTTGTTTTATTATTTAAATATCGAAATCAAACTGTTGGCATCCATGTTTGATGTTTACAGCAGAGAGAGAATTTAAAACTCGCTTCGAATTAGAATTTTTTTTGTACACACAAAACGATAATTTAAATGTTCACACCAACATTCACACTCTGCTGTGTGTATATGAGCATTTTAACAGAATGTTTCAAGAAAACATTCAACAAAGTCACATATAATGTCACATACTATATGCAAATTGTTAATGTCACCTGCAGTACAGTTCATATAGTCATAAAAGGAGCTGAATGTTACAGATAAGAACGCAGCTTGTTGATAATGATGGAGGGATGCATTTTGTGTGTTGCAGCTGACTAGAGTCTAGATTCTTAGACCCTGTTTACATCTGCTATTAGATGTGTTTTTGTAGATCCAACCACAAATGGACAATGCCAAATACAGGTGTAAACCAGGGCTGAAACTTTTTGGGCTTGTTCACTTTTGATTACTTTCATAGGTAGCCAAAAACACATTCATTCAAATGGCAAACCAGCCAGGGTTTGAACTTTGTCATCTGAAATTGTACGTTTGGTTTGAAGATCAAAAAATTTGAAGTAAAAATCATAGTTAGAATACTAGCAGTTAAAGGAACACTTTTTTTTTTTGAAATACATTTTGCAGTGATTAAAAAGAATCCCAGCTAGGTAAGTAGGTAACAGCGCTGTGTAATGTCATTGCGCCTGCTGCAGTCATGGTGTGGCAGCAAAGTTTTATTGATCATTACGCCTAAATGAGAATATAGTTCCTAGCCATACCAGCCGCTAAAATTTAAGCAGCTTTTCATTACATTTTTCTGTCAGTCTTAGTACAAAATGTAACTACAGGAGAGTCAAGCTTTAAGTAAGACAATTAGCAAAATTCCTATTTTATAAGATACTTCTGGTCTAATCTGATTCAATGATTTATGCTAAGTTACGCTAAGGGTGTACTCACACTATGTACAGTTGTCTTAAACCGTGACAAAGCGTGATCGTCCCTCTGGCACAGTTCGGATAGCATATTGTGAGTGCACCCTAAAAGTGCTACTTCCAGAATGGTAGATTGGCTGAATGGATTAAACATTGGTGAAACTCAAGTGTTTAACAAAAATTTGCCTATGTCCAAAAAATAACAAATAAAATGATTGTTCATTTATTGGGAATGGGCTTCCCTCATCTACTTGTGTTCAATAACATCATGGCGTTGCCTCATATGTCTACATGCCTTGTCAATGATTGTACTGATTGCATTTTAAAGCTTGTAAAGGAATTGCTCTGTAAGTACAAAGATAAGGGGAGGGGGAATTAATAGGTATAAATGTTAAGTGCAATAATGGGACATTTTGAGTTGATAATTTGTGTGTACACTGGCTCCAAAATGTTTAAAACCTGAAGTTCAGGTTGTTTTGTATATATATTTTGTCAAAATAGTTATTTGTCATGCTGTCGGGCAGGAAGGAATTGCTCATTTTCCAAACCTAAAGGGAAAAAAGACTGTAGGTTTTCAGCAATGCATAGCTAGATAATGTTGGATGATGTAGGCACACTTATTTCATCTTTTTTTTTTCAAACTGCTGCTAACATGTTGCATTCAGAGCATGTTAATCACAAAATATTTTCTTTTCTGGTTTCATATTAATGTTTTACCTCAATCATTGATCTTCAGTGTTTTTCATTATAGACTGATAATTCAAGAAGTTTTGAACTCATATTAAAATCTCATCTTGTCATGTTTTCACCTCTGGAAGGAAATGATCAATGTTTCAGTCCATGAGTGATGTATTGTGATGTGTGCCCCTGCCTATTTTACACAGGTCTGACATTAAAATGGAATTTGAAACAATTCTTTATGTGTTTTCATACATTTTGGATTGTTACATTATCCTGTCTTTTGATTATGCTAAAAACCCAGATACATTTTTGAGGAAAGATGGAAATAGAGCATATTTAAAGGGTCACAAAACACCAAGACACATTTTTGAGCTGTTGACAGTCGTATAGGTGTCCCATGCTGCTAAAAACACTATTAGGACACATATTCACAAAAAAATGAAAATTGGTTGTTTTTTCGTTATTTGAGCAAATTCGTTCTTCCGGTTTGAAACTAATTTTTTAAGCTACGTCACGCCGATTAGGTCGTTTCGTGTATTCCAGTGTGTAGACAGGCTGTCTGTACCTGGGAGTATGCGGTGCAACTTCATTAATATGCATGATAGCTTCGAAGACTGTTTTTACCTGTTACAGTGCTCAGATAGCAGAGACACCACGTTATGTTGCCAAAACAAGTGGGAGAAGAAGAATTGCTTGAAGATACGAGTCGTCAGTGTTGCTTTTATTATTTGCTGCATCAAAGGTTTTGTTTTCATTTTCCCGCTATGACAGGGCAGCTGGACTCACATGTGGATTACAGTGCACTCGACGCTCGACAGAAATACGTGTCTAAGGAACTTTGTTTACCTGAGAGCTTTTCTCATCTGGAAATGATGAAATCCGGAATTACTCATCATCTCCTTTTAAAAAAGACACGGCTCCAGTAAGTGTTGATTGTCCTGTCCTTACAGATTTGGTAAGTAAGCGATCAGTGGTCTTAGTTTATTCAGATGGCAAAGTGAGTTCGTATGTATTGTCAGCAGTACTCTTTCAGTGTTGAAAGACATACCCTAGTCAAATGATTTCTAAGTTACTAAAGTTTACAGTACTTTATTATCACTACAATATTATGGGCTGAAAGATTCGCTGTAAATGCTGCTCTCCGAGTGCAAACATGTAAACACCAAAAACAAACTATTACAGTTGTGTAGGATTTTCGCCGCATTTTGTGACAGGAATAACACACGGCTATCTGAGAGAAATGCGGAGGGTTTTTTTTTCTCTCATTCGCCATGCGGTATCAAACATTGCATTAAAATACACGCTTACAGCAGTTCCTTAAATCAAATATCTTGTTTGTCATGAGGGGCATGAATTAAATTCCTGAATGAAAGAGCCAAACTGCAGTTAAAGTCCACCATTTTATAATTTGGCAAATAATTCGATTACTGATATAGAGGTAAACACAGTCAATGTCTTTCTCCTCTGCGTCTGTGCGTTTGTTTTGTCTCTGTGAAAATCAGCGTGTGCTTAAATCGAAACTCCCATTTTTATGGAAATCTTTGTGCACTTTCCCTCCTCCGACACTCCCCCCTAAACATAGCTGGACACGCCCACTTTTCTGACTTTTTCCAAACTAGAGATGTGAAAACACCCTGCTGAAACAGGGAGGTTTCATGGCCCTTTAAAAAGTTTAAGGAGGATGAGTAATTTGATTATATGGGAGTTATGCATTTTCTGACTTCAGAAGCACAGTATCTTTATTTATTACATAATCTGTGCAGACAAATTACATTACCCATGATGCACAGAGTTGCAGTTGGCAAAGTATGCCAAGAAGAGTTCTTTATCTCTCCCTTCATTCATATTTTCACAATTTGAAATAAATGTTTAATGTATTTTTCCATAAATGCAACCAACAACTTGAAATGAATCCTTTGATATTTCTCTGTTTTTGACTGTTATTGGTAATGCTTCATATAGGTCTTTTAATCGGAGCGATGAAGTTACCTTTTACCTTATCTTTTTATCTGATTGTTTAGCCTTCATTGCTAATTCAAACACATTAATTTTAAACTAACAGAGGTAATAACTTTTTGTTGCATTATGTCAAATTTTGTAAGGTGTTAGTGATGACTAAAGCTAGGATCTTGCTCTGTTCAAGATTACAATGCTGAATGGTGCAACAAAATCAGTGAACGAGAGTTCTGTCTGTTTTTAACCAGATTAATGTCAAAGCAAAGAAAATGAAATTATAATTATAAAGAGCAATACATGCAGGAGAGAGAAAAGTACTGTGATTTACCTTTATCTCTTTATTCAAGTCAAATCTTTAATAAATCATTCATTTAACTGTGCAGTGGAAAAACTAATATCTCCTTCAGTCTTTAATGTTGCTTTAAATTAATGTTGCTAAATTACATAAACTTTTTATTCATACATTCATGTTTCTTCGGCTTAGTCCAGGGGTGTCTAAACTCGCTCCTGGAGGGCCGGTGTCCTGCAGTTTTTAGCTTCAACTTGCTTCAACACACCTGCAAGGATGTATCTAGAAAGCCTAAGAGCTTGATTAGCTAGCCCAGGTGTGTCTGATTGGGGTTGGAACTAACCTTTGCAGGACACTGGCCCTCCAGGACTGAGTTTGGACACCCCTGGCTTAGTCCCTTTATTCATCAGGGGTCACCACAGTGGGATGAACCGCCAACTTATCCAGAATATGTTTTACACAGCAGATGCCCTTCCAGCTTTAACCCAGTACTGGGAAACATCCATACACTCTCATTCACACTCATACACTATGGACAATTTAGTTCATCCAATTCGCCTATACCGCATGTCTTTGAACTGTGAGAAACCAGAGTACCCGGAGGAAACCCACGCGAACATGAGGAGAATATGCAAACTCGACACAGAATGCCAATTGACCCAGCGACCTTCCAGCTGTGAGGCAACAGTGCTAACCGCTGAACCACTTTGTCACCCACAACTGTCATTTTAGGGGAAAAATATTTGAAATATATTAATTCGATTTTTTTATTGCATTGTTTAAAACATTTTCTTCATAGAATCAGTGGCTGCATGAAGAGTCATTACCTTCTACATGGTTCTTCATAGTGGATAAAAGTTTTTTATTCATTTATTCTTTTTCTTTTTGGCTTAGTCCCTTTATTAATCAGGGGTCACCACAGCGGAATGAACCGCCAACTTATCCAGCATACGTATGCCCTTCCAGCTGCAACCCATAACTGGGAATCATCCATACACTCTCATTCACACATATACACTACGGACAGTTTAGCTTACCCAATTTACCTATATCGCATGTCTTTGGACTTGTGAGGGAAACCTTAGCACCAGGAGAAAACCCACGGGCAGAACATGTAAACTCCACATAGAAATGTCAAGTGACCCAGCCGAGGCTCGAACCAGCAACCTTCTTGTTGTGAGGCAATTGTGCTACTCACTGCGCCAAAGTCATATAAACATGCATTGTTTCAAAAAATGCTCTTCATTGGAATCAGTGGTTGCATGAAGAGACTTGTACATAGCCTTCTAAACGATTCTTCATTGTGGATAAAAGTTTGTTAGATTATAAAAATGTTCTTTATGCTTGGAAAAAAAGGGTTTCTAAAAGAACTTCTTGTTTAAAGGTTTGTGAAACCAAAAAAGGTGCATAATTTAATTTATTTTATAAAATAAAATAAAAAATAAAAAATAAAAAAAAATTATATATATATATATATATATATATATATATATATATATATATATATATATATATATATATATATATATACATATATACATACATACATACATACATTTATTTATTTATTTATTTATTTATTTATTTATTTATTTATTTGGGTTTTAGTTTTTTTGTCAATGTTCATTTTAATCTCCTCTCAAATTACTGTGGAAACGTGTGCAAAGATGTACAATCGTTTTTCTTTTAACAGACGAGAAGAAGAAGAAAGTAAATGAAAGGAAAAAGAAGAGCAAGAAGAGCAAGTTTGCTTCTTTTATCAGAGCCACTTTACAGTGCCTTCTCTCCCAGCAATGAGCCATTCAGGCTTTCATCCTCTGAAGGTAAATGATGGTTTTGGCATCCACATATTTTTTAGACTGTAAGTAGGGTTGGGTACTGAAACCCGGTCCCGAATTAGCATAGGAATTTTGTAAACGTACTCAGTGTACGTAAAAGTAGTCACAAGCCCCAACCCTAGAAAAAAGGAGTTCCCTGATTTTGATGACAGCCTCTCCACAGGTTAGTAGGAAGCTAATGTAATGTTAATTGCATAATGCAAATTTTAAATTCATACTAACAAACAAATGATCAAAATAAATAAATTAATGCAATTCGATTCAAATATATAACATATGAATTAACATATACTTTAAACTTCCATTATATTGTTCAATGAAAATTATTAAAATATATTTTTAGTTGAGACGCAGTGGCGCAGTGGGTAGCACGTTCGCCTCACAGCAAGAAGGTCATTGGGTCACTGGTTCAAAACTTGGCTCAGTTGGCATTTCTGTGTGAAGTTTGCATGTTCTCCCTGCGTTCGTGTGGGTTTCCTCCGGGTGCTCTGGTTTCCCCACAGTCCAAAGACATGCGGTACAGGTGAATTGGATTGGCTAAATTGTCCGTAGTGTGTGTGAATGACTGTGTGTGGATGTTTCCCAGAGATGGGTTGCGGCTGGAAGGGCATCTGCTGCGTAAAAACTTGCTGGATAAGTTGGTGGTTTATTCCGCTGTGGTGACCCCGGATTAATAAAGGGACTAAGCCGACAAGAAAATGAATGAATATTTTTGGTTAAATAAAAGATTTTTCTAAAGTCATTCATCATAATTTTGTGGCTCTTACGTATTGGTTCAGACACTGTTTTGGCACCATTTTAAAAGTATCGATTTCGCACCAGTATCGAAATAACCCCAAACTATACTCAACTCTAACTACAATGTTATGAATAAACTGTATTTTTACTCCCCCTTATCTGGAGTTTAACGTCTCCTTGAAAATAACTGTGTACTATGTGCAAACTGCAATCGTTTGTCTTTTAACACACATAAGATCTATGAAAAGATGGTGGTGAAAAAGGAAAAAGGGAACGAGATAATGCAGAAGAAGAAGGTGGTAGAGAAGGAGGAGGTGATGACGGAGAAAGGTATCAATAATACAAAGGAAGAGAAGACACTGGAGGGGGAAAAGAAAAGAAAAAGATAAGCAGCCGGTTGCCAGAGGAAAATGAAGGAGGAGGAGGAGAAGATGAAAAGTGTGGTGGAGGAGGACAAGATGGAAGGAGAGAAGAAAAATGAGAAGGAGATATAGTACATTGGAGAGGAGGAGGAGGAGTACATGGAGAAAGAGAAAGTGGAGAAGAAGAGGAGGATGAGAGGAGGCCAAGGAAAAACTGCAGGGCGGAGGAGGAGACGAAAGAAAAGGAAAGTGAGGAGGTAGAAAAGAGCATGGAGGAGAAAGAGACAACAATTGAATTAGTAAGGAAGGAGAGGGCGAAGAAGATTAGCATGATGAGGTGGACAAGAAAAAACTTTAAGTTTGAAAGAGGAGAACATGACAAAGTACAGAATACAGAAGAAGCTGCAAATGCGAAACAACACCAGATCTGCCTCCAAGGCCCAAGCTGCAATACGGGGAGAAAACCGTCATATTTTATTATGGGAGCCGTGAAAAGTTTAAAATTCAATAAAGTTGTGTTGAACAAAAAAGAAAAACAGTGTTTTGTGTTTATCTGCTTAACTGTCTGCTTCAAAAGAGTTGAAAGTGTTCCAAAGTGTGCTTACAGGTTTTAACATTCTTCCAAACATCTTCTTTTCTGTTCAACCCGAAGAAACAAAGTCAGACTGGTTTATAACAGCTAAATGCTGTGTATATGATGACAGATTATTTTTTTTGGTTGAGCTATTCCTTTAAATGTTTAACTAGGTTAAAGAAGCAGTAGGTGATCTGCCTAAATGCTAACCAGTTAGGCTAGCATAATATCTTTCAAACACAGTCACTCCTCCGTCGTCCAAATCTACGCCTCCTGAAATCATGAACGTGCACATTAAAGATGACAGAGACCCACTAGATCGCAGGTGTCAAACTCAGTTCCAAAAGGGCCGCAGCTCTGCACAGTTTAGTTCCAACCCTAATTAAACACACCTGATCAAACTAATTGAGTCCTTCAGGCTTGTTTGAAACCTACAGGTAAGTGTGTTGGAGCAGGGTTGGAACTGAACTGTGCACGGCTTCGGCCCTCCAGGAATTGAGTTTGACACCCCTGCACTAGATCATGTCATCCACCAATTAGAAAACTTTATAGTAGTTTATAATACTACAATTCTGAACAAAAACTGTATTATATCTAGCACGTTTTCAGTTATGTAGTTGGCAAGCAAAACTTGTCATCACTCTCTAATCAGTCTCAGTCATCAGTCACACTCTCTCAAGAGCTTTGCACTAAACCGACTACTGTATGCTTAGTGATTGGCCGGTGGCGTGCAGGAATTACACTTATTGCTAAGCCATACTTGCATGCTATTTCAGACCGAATATTGAAAATAGCATGGTAAACAATGAAGGGAATGTGTGTCACAGGTAGTCGTTGTTCAAAAATGAACCAATGTGAATATAAAACCAACTTCACCTCAGTAAAGCAGGCTATAGGCAGAATAGCGCTATTTACTGTTGTTTTGTTGTTATTCTAAATTATTTCACATCTGTCACATTCATAATGGAGCTTTTTCCTCATAAATGCAAAAAACTTCAAATAAAATAAAATCAATCATTTTTGTTTTATAGTGAGCCAACTCTTATCCTTTTGATTGCCATTATTTTTGGGGGGTTGTGAAGTTTAATTTACAGAAATTCTACAAAGTATGTTATATACTGCAAACTTACTAACTTTTTTAGTCACATCCATTAACGCATGTTTATTGTCCTCATTTAAAACACTAAAAATGTTTATAGATTGATATTTTTCTGATCCCATAACTCTGTGGTTAGTTGTTTTGAAAAAATATAAAGAGATGTTTCAAAATGATGTTAACATATACCATATACTCTGTGAATTTATGTTTTGAGTGTGTATATATGTTTCCCAGTGATGGGTTGCAGCTGGAAGGGCATCCGCTGCGTTAAAAAAAAATGCTGGATGAGTTGGCGTTCATTCCGCTGTGGCAACCCCAGAGTAATAAAGGCACTAAGCCGAAAAGAAAATGAATGAATGAAGGAAGAGCAATACTTAACAAAACAACAGAAATGCTAAACAAATCAGTCAAAATGGCTGTGTTTTAATATAGCAATGAATGGGCTTTGTCCACACAGACATTTAATTTCAGCCAGCCAGCCTTTCCATTATAAAATTGCCACGTGTAAGGTCTGATTTCTTTACAAATTAGTGATCTCCACTCCCTGATATATACAATATAAAGTGGGTCTCAGACCGAAAAAGAAGCACAACATCAAATTCCATTTCCCCTTTAAAATATGACAATTTACCCCAGTCTTTTCAATGGAGTTTCTGCGTTAGTCTGCTGCTCCCGGCTGTGCTAGAATTTACAGTCTTTCATCTCGTTTTACGCTTAAACAACTAAATAAAAGCTAGTCTATTCAACTGAATGTATTTTTATTACAGTGCAACATCGATACTATAAAAGGAAATTGAAAATAGCCACATTAAGCTTTCACCGGAAGTTTATCATTGGCTGAAAAACAGGCTATGCTATAAAGTTAAAAGTTAGCATTGCCCTCAGAAATATAAAGCAACTTTGTGATGATGATAATAACATAAATAACACCGCACTGTCCAATGAGACTAAAAAAAAAAGTTCTGTTCTGTGAAAAAAGATTTTTTTCAATGTAAAATACAGTATCGGACAGTAGATGGCGGCCTAATCCATCTTTCTGACCAGCACCATCTGTGCTCGGCATGGAAGTGGTTAAATTGGTGGAGTTGACTGGCTTTCTGCCGTTGTTTCGAGTCGAGTTGGGGGGAAAAAACAGCGGCAACGCGGAGATGCTGAGCGGAGGGGTTTTCTGATCGCCCTTCGGTGTTCAATGACATGAGCACACTTGCTAAAACACCAAATTATGGCAGGGAACCTCAGCTGCTACGAGTTTCAAAATACCCCTGCCGCATAAAAAAGCCGCATTGTTGACGAAACTGTAACCGTGAGCAGCAATAATGCGAGGGGCGGACAGGAGCCGCAGGTCTGCCGTGATTGTGCTCTGCCTGCTGGGATGCGCTTTATGGACGACGACCGCTAAAACACTGCAGGAGAGCAGCGATGCCAAAGGTAAGAGACGCGCCGAGACAACACCTGCAAACACACCACTTCTGCTCATGTTTATGGGAATTTTGGTAGACATTTGGGGAGCTTTGCTTGGACTTCCTAAATTTCATTCCCAGTGCTAACAGCTAGCAACCTTAGCATATTATAACGCAGTGTGTACATGTTTTATGAGCAAAGAATGTATGTTTTATGAATTACATAGTTTTTTCCACAAATTAGTGTTTAAACAGCGCAAACTGTGTTAAACTTACGTGGTTCAGTTGCTCTGCTGTTTTGTAAACCTCAAACCATCTGTTTGAAATCGGATCTCATTTTTGTGATGCCTGTCTTTGCAACAAGCATCACTGCAGCTTCCAAAGCTGTTCAACTATGAGGCACAGAAATGTCATTATTTTAGGTTGGAGCAATGTTATGTTTCTGTCTGTTGGACCCTAGTTTGTTTTTTAGATATAATTTAATATTCCAATATTTGTCTTGACTTCATTTTAGTTGTTTAGAAATCTGGAAATCTAGAGCTTTTCCATGAAATGGGTTGTCGGAATTGTTTGCTTCAGTTATTTCATAGAATATAAGTTTCTTAATTAAGGTAAAGTTGGTTTTATATTCACACATTCAAGCCTTTCCCTTTCATTCCCCCAAATTAATTTCAGAAAAGTATTCTTTGCCAATGCTAAACATGGAAATCATAATAACAGTCAATGACTGTCGAAGTACAACATTGTTCACAGTCAAGTAAATGGTGCTAATGTTGTTTTTAAGTCATATTTACATGTGACTTTAGACCAAATATATAAAGTACCATGGTAAACAATATAGAGAGAATGTCACAAGTTGTTATTGAACGAATGTGTGAATATAAAACCTGCTTTACCTCAGTAGTTTCTTAGCTCTTCTGAAGTTAATGCATTAGTATTAGGTTGTCTAAAACTAATATGCGCACGCGCACACACACACACGTATGTCAGGCTACTTTTCATTAAGTGCCAATATTTGCCACATGGAGTTGTTTTCTAGTGCCATTTCTGGCATTCATCTTCATAACAGGAGTCTGTTTCATTAACTTATTAGCTATGTCTGTTAGGCCCGGTTTTAGAAAAAAATGTAATTGCTGCAGGTTTGATGTGGTGGTTTTAAGAACACCAAAGAAAGACCAAGCATAATCACAAAGAATGCTATGCTACTGTTTATTTAAATCCATTTTTCCAATAAAGAAAAAAAAGAAAATACCCACACTATTTTAAATTCTACCAAATAAATGATATATAAAATCTTATATATTGATATAAAAACCTTTACACACACACACACACACACACACACACACACACACACACACACACACACAGTGAGAGAGAAGGAGAGCAGAGAGTTCACAGCTTTTTATTTTATCCGTTGTAATGAATAGGGGCTCGTAGGTTCTGCTGTAACAGTTGTGTGCTTTTTAAAAAAACATTTGTTGGATTGTTTTAATTACTCGTGCTCACCTCCCTCGCCATAGTAATAATCAAAATAATCCCGGCTTTTGCGATTTGAAAATCGCACCTTTCAAATTGCTATTTCGGTGCAAATTCGATTAATCGTGCAGGCCTAATGTCTGTTTTGTCTTTTATATCAAATAGACTCGTTACATTTATCCAGATATGTTGTCTTGTTTTTAAATGCACTTAAAGTTGCTGTTTAAAATTGCATGAATACAAAATAAAGATGAACTGTGATAATATGACAAAAATTGTTGATGATTATTTTCTAAATATCTTATTTATGATTAATGTTGATTAATAGATTACATAAAATGCAAGGTTCTGTTAATGTTACTCAATATATTTGCTAATATGAACAAAAAATGAACACTGCATTTAGCATTTACTGTACAATACTTGTCAGTGAATTATGAGGGCAAAAACTAAATAAATAAAAATTTTGTTCATTAATCATAATCAAGTTAAAATCGCCCAGCCTTACTGCATTTATTACAGTATTTATTAGTCGTAGGTAACATTAAGTCATTCATTGTTGGTTGTTTTAACCCGGTGCATTAACTAAAAATAAAAAAGCACAACTTTGGATTTTGATAGCCGGATTCCTTTGTTAATGTTGAGCTATAATTAATAAATGCTGTACAAGTACTTTTACATTTATCAACATTTTGCTTATTATATTAGTTCACAATGTTAATCTAGTGCTAGTTATTCCAAAACAGCAAATGGATCTGGCTATAGTTTTATTTATTTATTTGCTCATCATCTTAAAATGATTAAATATGGTTTTCTCCTTTACTAAAAGATGTGACAAATATCCATTTAGACCATTTCAATGATCTTGCTGAAATTTAAATGCAAGTGGTTGCTGTGATAGTTTTATTATGAGATTATTTCTGGCTTCTGACTATTTCCAGACTGTTACGGTCTAAATGATGTGGCTAATGCAGTGTTAAGTGTCTGTGCATTAAGATATCAGCTTGTTGGGTGAGGAATGAAATCGAAAAAGCCATTTACATAGAACCAGAAGTTCACATTTGACATTTACATAATCCAGATAGCAGGTCAAAGCTTCAAAGATGAAGATTTCACTTTTTAAATTTACTGGCTGCAATGACTGTAGCTCACCTCTTGACTGTCACTTTGGCGAAGACTTCCATAATATAAGGAATCCCCCCCATGTTCTCCCCCCTTCTGGCTCCTGCTGATGAGCAGTGGCAGCACAGATGGGTCTGATCCGCTTCTGTTCCCAAGACATTAGACTGGCACAGAGTACGCTTTGAGTATGCAAAACAGGGCTTTCCTGCCTTTTGTCCAGGCTGTGCCACTTCCTCATCACCAGGATCTGAAAAGAGATTGCTGTGTCTGCATGTGAGGTCTTGACACAGTATATTCAGGCCTGGAAATCTTTTTTGCCATGCTGCTTTCTTAAATCTTACTGGCTGAATTTTGACTCTTTTCAAATTAAATAAAAGAAACTCTATTGAAAATACTGGTTTTATTAGAAATTGTGAAATTTAAATCACGAATAACAAATGTAAGGAAATAAATGAAGAAAAAAGTAACATGAATTAACAATCTATTTTTGCAGCGTCTATAATACCTTTTTAGAGCTAGTTCATGTAAATGTTCATGATGGTTCACAGTGTATTAATCAATGTTAACTTCTAAGCTGAAATATGTATTAATTGTAAACACTAATATTAAAACAAACTAATAATAAAGACGAACAAATGTCCTGTAATTTGATTGTCATTCGTTAATTTTAACTGAGTTTCCTAACAAATGAGAGCTTCTAAAATATTACTAAAATCTGTCATGACAGCTTTTCCTGATGCCAAATTGACTGTTTTTAATTTGGTTTTCATTAGGCAGGTTTTTACTTTTATTATATATGATCACCACTTTATTTTTGTGTACAATTCACACTATTATCAAACCATTAACTAAGGCTTCTTGCTTAATAAACTCCTATTTAGCTGATTATTAATAGTTAGAATGGTAATAGGTTTATGGCTCGTTTCCACTGACTGGTACGGTACGGTTCGGTACGGGTCACCTTTATCAGGCTTGCATTTCCTCTAACAAGGGTACCCTTTTGGTGGGCGTGGTGTACAAAAGAGAGTTTCGGTCGACATCATTCTCGCTCAAATAAATGTCAACAGTAAAGCTGTACAGGTCGTTCACAAATCATATGAGAAGCACTTCGCACAAAAGAGATGCTTTACACACATAAATACTTGTTTATAAATGTTTATTACTAACTTGTTTATGAACAGGATTTGATTATAACTGCAGATCAATGATATTGCAAAATAGCCTACTGTAACATCTGCAACTATATAAAATAAATATATAAATAAAACGTATACAAACACATACAGACCCTTACAGTCTCCTATATATTACCAATTACAGAAAAACTACACACCAAAGACATTTAGTCCTTATTTGAGTTTAAAAACACACGCAATATAGCTCACAGTTAGGGCAAACCTTTCATCTGTGTCTGTAATCTTCACCAGCACATGTAAACTCTGTTAGAGAGTAATTCTGTCATTCCCAGTTCATAATAGTCCAAAAGGCGAAGATAAACATGGCAGTTTGTTTGTGATTCAGTTTGCGGAAACAATGTTGATCCTGTGTTTTGTCAGGCTTCTCCTTTTTTTGCACTTCACTCTCGCGTTTGTCCTTTTCTCTCCGAATGTATCAGATGACGGAGGCACCAATAATCACGCACACGTTATTATCATCAGCTTTTAAAGTTCGTTATATCAAATATAACTTGGACGCGATCGCGAGCTCCCGTAAGAAAGTGAAACCGCTCTGACTTTTTGACAGGCTCTTTGTGGCTGTTTATCAAGACAATGACAAAGTTCGTTTGAGCTCGGGTCGTCCATGGCTTGTTATCATATAATTTCCATGTAATCTCTCGGCTGTGTATTAGAACATGGCGGTTCCTTTGTTTTCATTCTGTCTAGCTCCATGAGCTTGTGACGTATCTCTTTAACCAATTAGCATTTAGCTGCACGTGTAGCTCCACCTTTTAGGACCTTTTTTTGTGTTTGGTACCCTTTCGAAAGGATGCCGAAAACCATACCGTAACGTACCGCTCAGTGGAAACGGACCATAAGGTATAGGGTAGAATCAGGGGTGTAGAGTAAGAGGCTAATCACACCGAACACGCTTTTAGCGATAAAGGCACCTGTTTTAAATGATTTACTAACGTTTGCTTGCATTGTGCGCACTGCTTTTACGCCCTGCTGAGCCTTGCGTTTTTGCAGTTGTGCGCTGTGCAATCAGTTGAAAAAAAAGTCAACTCTGAGCGGTAAAGGCACGTTATGTCAGTCGTGTCTTTTTCATTCTCCACTCAAATGAAAGCAGAGGTGGGGTTTCCGTCGAGGTGACAGCAGTATTTGTGTTGTCAACTACGGAGACTTTTAAAGGAGACTTTTGCTGTTTTGAGTTATCCGGTGCTGTATGACTTTTAAAATGATGTTAATATCAACAGCAACACTCTCACAC